TCATGGTCAGCAGGCGTCTGAGTTCTGGTATGGTGGGGCTGAATTCTTGGCAGAAGGTTTGCAGGTCATCAGCAAACTTTCCTCCGTCATTCTCTGGGTCAGGGAGGTGCTGAAGGAGATCTCTCATTTCATCCATGGTCCAAGGTCGGAAAACGAGACTTGGACCTTGAGACCCCATGACTTGGATCATGGGGGCTGTTAGGGCCTCAGGTTGTCGTCCACTGTTGCTTCGCAAATTCATGGGTGACCATGAAATCTCCCCTGCACGTCCCCTGGGGGTTTCAAGGCCGCGGGCAGCTCCTGTTGAAGTGGATGATGTAACCTCATTCTCCTCATCTTCTTCCCGGTTTGGCAATGCAGGGGCGGAGGCGGCTGGTGCTGCTGCTCCATGGAGTGGCTGCGGCTGGTAGGGAGGAGGTGGGCAAGTGTCGAGAAGAGGACCCTTCATTCCTGTTAAAGAGGGATATAAACGAGAAGACTTCTTTTTATCTGCTTGCTTCTTTTTCTCACAGGTTGAATCTATTTTGACCATTTCCAATTCCTGTATTTGTTTAGTTTGTCTACGATCGCATTCTCTTTTCCACATTTTCAGACATGTCTTGTGTTTTTCAATCACTTCTAAATCCTTTGTTTTAATCCTGCTTTTCTTTCTCAGTTCATTTTCTTTTTCAACTAACTTGTTTTCAAGTTGTGTGATTTGATTTGGGCTCAGGGAGCCTCCTTCAGGAAAACCAAAGAATTTTGATCAGTCCCTCAGACATTCAACAGACTCTGGACCGTACTTATCCAGCATGAGCGTCATAATGGGACCCTCAGGAAGCGCGCCTCCCCGACTCTGACCGTTTCCCATATTAGGATCAAAAATCCTATCGCAGTTTACCAGGTTCACCAGATCTGACCTGGAGGGCCTTGCTCCCACAAATAATTTTACCAACCCACGGTTGGAGGGAATCTAAACCCACGGTCTATAGACACAAGCGTCCTCGTGAATCCCTTGTTCAAACAGTACAAACGGGCTAAACTTCCCAGATTGGTTACTGGCCTTTGGGGCTCCGGGCCC